GCTATAACTTAAACAACGCTATAATTCACAACAAATGACTCACGCGCTCGACCCAACTGTCCGTCGCTATCTCTGTCTGCAATTCAACTACATTGTTGCCGTCACTTCTTGGCGGTCTTATATACAAGAATACCGAAAATCTAGTAAACACTCGAAGCTTCACGAAGGGACACGAACGTTCTAGAAGCTCATGACGTGTTACCAGCGTCACGTGATTCACCAAAATAAAAAAATATCGTGTGATCGACGAACAAAAAAAAACTTCGAGAATCGTCGATCTAAATTAGCAATATTCCAATGGTTATTTAATGCAACTTTGCCCTATATTAGATAGTAGCCTTGCATTGGTCAGCGAAACTCTACCCCAGTATAATAATATGTGATTTTTTGTTATTGTAGTTTTATGCACTAAGGTGACATGAAATAAAAAAACAAATTCTCAAAGAATAACGAATCAAGATTATGTTGAACCCCTTTTAAGACTGGAAAAATAACTATTGCCATTTTTTACTTAAGTCATGTATCAGAAAATTATTTTCGAGACAACTTGTACTGTTGAACATTACTGTTTGTTTTCACGGCATTCGTCGTGAGATAATACAAAATGACAGGGACCAACCAACCATTTAAAATGTTCAATTGAATAAACGCCCTTTCATTGTATTTGTTTTCTCACAAGTGGGCGAGAACGAGGACTTGACAATTATCCACCGTATGAATTGTGAATTTCCAGTACAGTTTGTTTGTTTTTTTCGGGCGAAATAACTTTGCAAAATCGCTACGTGGTGTTTTCTTTTCAATCTCAGTTATTTACTTTTATAAGTTTGTTTCCACTGCAAAGATATTAAGCTCATGAAAAGTGGTGTAAAAATCTAACTTTCTTCACAATATGTTCTGGTATACCTTCTAATTACGTAATAAAGTTCGTTGTCAAATGAGAAGTTTCTAGCTGTCAGCGGTTCCCAATCGCTCGTCGACAGATATGTTTTTATTGGCTCGTAGAAAAATGCAGTGGGAATACAGAGAGAAGGGAAAAAGAAAGAAATTAAAAAGTGCTCTTTAAATATTCGATATATGGTTTATACATGTGTTAGGTATAAATGAAATATGTTGTTTTCTTTCCAATTAGTTGTAAAGCAATTGACTCCCATAACTTTCACTTGAAAGTTTCTTGAAGAAGCCAAATTAAGAAACAACACTAAGTACTGGCTCATAAGCTTTTTACAAAGAATGGAAACGTTGGAAGCTATTGGTCTAACTTTTCTATAAACAATAAGCCTGTGATATCAAGCTGAAGTGTCGAGCTCTAGTCCTGAATGCAAACAAATGAAACTGTTCCACTTTTACAACTGCCGCTACGAAAAGCAACAACTTACGCTTTTAAATTTTACCCATTTAAGGGGGGGGGGGCGCCTCTGTAACGTAATTAGGCGATTTAAAGATAACTGTCCTACAATGTCACAAATTTTGAAATCCAAAGTGATGACCCACAGTTCCAGTACCTTTTATAAAACATTTTAAAACTTAAAGGTACGAAAATATTAATATTATTATTCTGTTTGTGCTTGACAAGAGCTGATTTCCTTCATCCAGAAAGCTATAAAATGTATCTCGGGGCATTCGGCTTATGTATTAACGTGTGTGTCATCGTGTTACACATTTTTTATTAGAGTGTAATACTAGTTCAAAGTGATATGTATAGTAGTTTTCATATACATATGTTAGTGTTGCTGAAACATAGAACTAAAATTAGTGTTGAAGGTTTAGGTAAATCACGTGCCTTCTTCTGTAATATACCAAAAACCACAGTGTTTCATTTCGTTATCCTTTTTTTATTGAAACCTTTAGCATAATGCTATTTATTATTATTATTATTATTCGAAGTAAAAATTATTCGAAAGCTTTCCTGTCCAGGAAAATAAAATTGGATGTCAAGTGGTTAATAGAGAACATTGAAGTGCATAGCGGTGTTTTTTAAATATGTATATCTATGTCTTGTTTCGATGAAGAGCTTTAACATTATATGAAATGCCAACCAGTTTGTCAACACACACACACTTCGCAACGATCGGTTTTTTTATTTTTTTTTCATTTTAGATATCACACTGCATTCATGAACGAGTTAAATAGCAATAACGTTAACTACTTGTAAAGGTATAGCTGTAGTTGGATTGGGAGTGGCAGAATAGTTATCGTGCTGGGATGCGCACCCAAAGGTTCAAAGTTATGTCACTGGATAAGCTCCGCACTTCCAGCTGTCAGAGCGTTTATATCAGTGTAAGATGGCAGGTGCTTTTAACTGGTTGCCTTCCCTCTGCTAAATAATTCTAAATTAGGAATTATACCTGAACTTTGGATAACCTTACCTGGCCGTATAATTCATGTGTTACTTAAGGTGTCATTACGTTTGAAAATATTCAACGCCAAAAGAGTTCTAATTTCTTATCTTTTTCTTGTTGGTTGGTTAAGCACAGATAGCCCATTGTGTTGCTTTGTGCTTAACAATAAACAAACAAGCTCTCTCTCTAACTTTACGATAAATGTAGTATTTCATAAGCAACAAAAAAAGGCATGAAAAACAAGCAGCTTGAGAAATGTAAAAAAGAAATTGTTCACTGCCTATAGTGGATATATTTAATATTGAGGCATGTTCTCTTGACCCAAAAAATATACTAAGTGCCGCCCACAAAAATCTTCGAGCCTGAAACAGGTCTTCTGTTTGCTCCCCTCCCCCACAGAAATTATAGTTCAAGTTTTCAAGTGTATCTCCCCCTGAATTATCAATTATCCATAGTAAATGTGTTAATAATACCATCGTGTAGCTTGTACCCTTGAGGCACACCCCATTTTTCTGTAAAAACAAGGTGTTCAATTAAATGTACACCCCTAAAGAAAAAAAAACAAGGACTTCATATATTCTGCCCCCCTCCCCCCACCAGTGGCACTCATAGTCCATTGTGTAGCTTTGTGCTTCATTACAAACAAACCATACCCCACCTGTGGCACAGATAGTCCATTGTGTAGCTTTGTGCTTCATTACAAACAAACCATATTTTCTTGCTAGTGATTGATATTCTCAGGTATGTATTATGATCGTTTTGCTCAAGTTACAACATAGTCATCATGATAAAGTAAATAATAATACTAGTGCGGTGTATTGACATACGAGTTCACACTGCAATACATCATACAGGTTTAGTTAATTGGGTATAATAGCTTTGCTAAAGTGATTAGATGAATGGTTGTTATACAAGATAAGCATGTCATCACATACTTAAAACATGAAACATAGTGGTACAAACATGTGAACATTTTAAAACTGCACTTCGTCCTATGCATCAAAACATTATCCAATTCAAGACGGAAGAAAAATTACTGGATTTTCTTAATAATTCTCCTCACATGTGTTAACGTACCCCCCCCCCATCACAAATTTCGCAGATGTTTTGATAAAAATGTCCTTTTCCCCCTGCCGTGTTCAACAAAACACCGTATTATGAAAATTGGGACGCGGATGAAGTGTGCATACTGACGCATGCGCTATTGTATTTTACACACGTTAGCACGTGACGCGTTGACGTAGACCAAGGAACCAAAGATATCCGGTCCCCTGAATTCCTTGGCCCCTTAAAAACAACAAGCCATATACTCTAACGCTCCACAGAACATACGTTGAACAGTATTACACCCACATCTTAAGACGTGTCATCGAATTTAAAGTCCAAGACCTGAAGAAATGGCATATATTTTAAAGTTTAACCTAAATATATGGCATGAATTTTTGTATTTAAGTCTAAAAGGATGGCTAACAGTTTAACGTTCAACCTGAAAACATGGCGTACATTTTAGCGCTTAAACCTAAATACGGGTAATCTTTTAAACTCGAGACGCTTTCTCAATCATTCTAGATTCGTATATTTTCCGTCGAATAATACAGGAAAAATATTTTTTTTTATTTCCGAAAAATATATGTTCTCTTTTAAAGATATTATTGTATAAATTTATCAAAAATAGTGGTTGTAAAAACTAAACTAGACTGTCGAGTTATGAGATGACATATTTAAAATATTTAGGGATGGTTCGATTCGTCAACTGACTATGTGCTGCATTTGCTACAGTTAATTTTAACTTCTAATCAGAGCAAGGTACCACTTAGATTAAACTCGTATATCAGCATAGTTCATTAAATATACTTTTCTTACGTTCTTACTTATAACGATTAGAATGGATTGGTCCAACACTTGGAAATCTTCGCTGTTAACGATATTTTCGGCCGTAAACCCAATAATATTTCACAAGGTTCAGCCAGTTTAGAAGATTTAAGTTAGCCCTAACTCCAAATGCTAAACTAACAATTTAAAACAGTCTCTATAATAAAAGTATAATAGTAAGAACATATAAATAATACAACTAGATATATATTAAAAATTCTAACCAATACTGTTTATGAAAGTAACATTAAAGAATGAAAGAATAAAGTGTAGCTTACTTACAGAACACATAAACAAACAACTGTTGTTAGCTCTAAATACTGTCTTAGATTTAACGTCTCTTAAACAGTGGCACAGCGGTATGTCTGTGGACTTACAATGCTAGAAACCGGGTTTCGATACCCATGGTGGACAGAGCACAGAATGCCCATTCTGTAGCTTTGTGCTTAACTACAAACAAACATAAACAATATAATGTCAATATAACCGTGTATAAGTAAACATTTCCACAATCCTCGCTAGAATGTCTTGTGACCAATAAAATCCATTAAAGAGCTCTGACCGTGTAACTTTAAAGAAGCCTCATATCTGAGATAAGTCGCTACGACAGAGTTACTGCTCAGGTGTAGAGTCAACTAGCAAGACAGTACCAATATTATAGCCAAAAATTAGTTTTCCCGGAAAGGGCCGAAGGCCGTCTGGAGGGGTCACATGTTTTAACCTCTCGCATCACTATACAGTAGTGTGTTGTCTGTTAGTCAGTGAGTAGACACTAAAATGACGTCACATAAGGGATGCTTAACTTGCAGTTTATACTGTCGTGACGTGAATAAAACGTGCGCATGCCATGAATCACGAGAAGAATTATGCACTCTATAGGCTACATATGAACTTCAAAAGTAATAAATAAAAAATATTCGTTACTCTTAGTTTTGGTTTTATTTACTCTTGAAACAGAACACTTTCAGGGACCCTACAGAAGTACATATAGTACTTATGAAGGTACGAAATAATAAAAAAAACGAACGAATACTTGAATTGCACAATAAATAGCTGGAGTATTAGTACTCTATTTAAGAAGTAACCATGTTAAATGTAAAACAAAACAATATAATAAACATGTTATGGGATGTGTCTAACTCTACTCAAACAAACGTCATATAACAAAACACATGGAGAGAACAACAGGAAATAATAAATAAAGTTAAATCTTCAGAAAAAGTCGTGAAGTAAAGGCGTTAAGTTATTAGAAAGTTCAGTAATAATAATAATAATAGATATGTTTTATCTATATGAAGACTAGTGTAAATATTACTAAAATCAAAAGTTTCTATTGTTTTAGCTTCATAACCTTTAATTCCCTCTTTACATTCAATGGGATTACTGATAATAAAAAACTACGATCGTTATTTCAAGAAATGTGTGTATGATCAGTTTGTTACATACAATTAAATTGTATCTGTCTGGAACATGGAAATAAATACGTTATTTCAGATAAATTAATCAGTTTAAAAGGTTGAATTACTTAAATCGATTAATAAGATTAACTTACTTTTTTAGTTTCACCTTAGAAATGTATTATGTTTTTTATACTTAATTTGTTTGCCAAATGTGTAGACAAGAAAAAAATAAAAATTGTAAAATAATCTTTGTACTAATATTCCTTTATTTTTTTTTATTTCGTGTATTTGCTTACATGATTATAACAGGAACTGAATAATATACCATCGAGATAGGATTCAGTTTTGTATATCTATTTTATTTTGTTGTTGTTATTTCTGTAGTATGTACCGCCTTTAGAGCAAAAAAAAAGTACAAAAACGTTATTCGGTTCTATTTGTAATTCTTATCCTATTGGTCTTATAATAATTGTTTTTTCTTTTTCTTTTTTTATAGGAAAAACATAGAGCAGATTATACGACAGTGTGATGACGAAATAAGTCGGATGTATGTGAAGGTGCCTGACAGTCTGGAAGAGCTGGGAGACAACGCCCCCTTCGGTTATTTTTATAACTACACTAGACAAGGAAACGAAAGAGGAAGTAAACAGGCATGGTCATGGGCAGGTTATGCTTACCATAAGAAGGCTCTGTGCGAGACGGTTCCTCGTATAATCCGGCCTGGATTAGCTCATGACACATCTGGGAAGTGGTTTATTATAGTTCAGTCGGACAAATACCCTCAGAGAGTTCCCGTCGAAATATGTAGGTGAGTTTGAGGTCGAGCTGTATAACAAACAAGTACGTATGGTGCGTTAATATGTTGTGCTATAGAAAAAGATATATGACATGTATACAACACATATTTAGATAACATTGCAGAGCTGAGGTAGATTACAATGTTGTAATAATAAATGTTAAAAAAATATTAAATCAATCTATAAATAGTACCGAAAAGACGTACTAGTTGAATGAGATCATCGTAATGAATTATCTATCTGCCTCTGCAAAACACGTTTATTTTTCGGGGGGGACAGAGTTTGTTAACAAACTTTATGAATTAGTCAACCCTATATGACAAAGGAATTTTTAATGTTTTGAAAAAAAAACTTTTTTTATTCTATAAAAGTGTAGGATAATCACAGACATACTGACCGCTAATAACTCCAGCCTAGTGCTATCTCTTGTTTTCATTTTAATCATTTAACCTCTTCGAATCTTTGCCTCCAGATATGAGTTGAGAAGTTCGTGTGATTAGCTGTGTATAACTGGACAGCACTCCAAAGTGTTGTTGTTTTTCTAAACAGGTTTTGCTGGATTAAAGGCCGATATTCTTCTCAGAAGTGCTGAACTTCGGTGGTTTTTGTTTTGAGATACATAATTGATTACATCCGGGATCTTGTGAATTAGGCTGTCAACATGTTACAAGCTTACTGCACAAAATACTCATAGTAACGACATTCCACCAAAAAAAGGGGGTTTCTTATTTGTGTATATTTTTCGTATTATTTGTTTTATAATAACGTGTTGGTTTTGATATAAGACATTTTGGATAAAACAACAGGTTATAGTCACGCATGAAAAACACTATTCTGTACTTCAATTAAGTCAATTCAAAAAACTTTAGCGGTTTCAACTTCACGCAGTTCTTTATTTAAATACTTAATGTACAGTACTGATGTAGACGTGTGACCATGATACTTCAGTAAGCGTATACTTCAAAAACATTTCTAGCATTATTAGCGTTTTGTGTAAAAATAATTGGTATAGCTCACAAAGTGAATATTACTCAATTTCCATATTTTTGTCGTCATATGTATATACACCTCATTACAGTTTTGGTATGGCTAAATGTCGCAACGTTTTCTGATGATATTTAACTTTTATATTAAAAAAATCGTATTTACTTGCATAAAAATGGCAATATGTATATACTTAAAACATGGTATACACTGTGCAATGATCAGGGTGACTTTGTGGGAAGAAGTAGTGGCCAAAAGTGTTTCACGTGATTAATTCATTGGCGGTCATTGGCCGCACAAGTGTCCTACGGGCCGAAGTTGAAAAGTCATGGGTCAAAGTAGGAAGTTGGTATAACTCAGAAACGACTCTTCATATCAGTCTTATGGTGGCTGTTAGAGTAGAAACTTCAGTTGAGTTTATGTATTATTGCAAGAGTGACGGCCATTTTTTTTTCATTGCATTCCTTCATAGAGAGTGCTGGCTCACTCTCTGCGATATTATAAGCCTTTTGTGTGCCCCACACACACTTTGTAGATTTATTAGTGTTATAGAAAATTTTTAATTTTTCTGTAAGGACGTGGCGTCATCTATATATGTAGTTAACGTTAACTTACGTGAAAGATAATAAATGTCTAAAATCAACAATAATCGTGGGTGAAAAGGGTTGTTAACCATCCAATAATATGGCCATCTCACTACCATCTCACAAAGTTTGATTGAAATTGGACCAGCGACCTAGGAGTAGTTACATAAGGGACAAACAGACAGACACACAGATTTTTGTGCTATATATATATATATATATTAAATATAATGTCAGATTTTATGTGCTCTTTACCACAGAAATTATAGATTGTGATTTTGTTGTGGGGTTTGACATGCAATTTATTTCTGACCCTCTGGAATACACCTATAAAACGAACAGTAAAAGAAAGGAACAAACAGTTATACTGTTAGACTCGCAGGTGGGTGCCGTCCACCAACTATTCCTTTTGCAAAACTTCATTCTTTTTCATACTCCTATCTACACTGTTGTCTTGAATAGTAGTTTTTGGAAAATTTGTAATCTCTTATTTTAACTCACTGTTTTATGTATGAGTCTAGTCCTGGTGCATAGATAACCTTCGTGTAGCTTTCTGCGAAATTCAAAACAAACTAACCTTGATCTTTATAACATTTTTGTCTTGAGTGTGGAACTGCTATAGAAGACAGGCGAAGAAAAAATATGTCAACAATTAAGAAATGGTTGCAAGAATAATTGAAAGGACTTTTATCTGGTTACATTGTCTGGCCATTTTTTTTGGACTTCCATCCAATTGGAGTGGACCACGTTTTGTAGGAATATTGTATTCAAGTACATTGAAATCCTACAAGTATACATTTCACACGACTATAATAGAGGGATCGTCAGGTAACAAACACAAGTCAATAAAATCAAAGAGACTGAACATAGTTGCGTAACTAAACAAACAAAACAAAGTCCTTATTAGAGCGCCACAATAAGATGAGTTACTTGATTATACTACGTACTGAATCCACATTACTTTGTCTTTACAACTGGCTGTTGGAACAATGGAAAAGTTGCTGTTCACAGTAAGAATTGTGTGTTATTAGATTTTTATTAGGTGAAACATCACCTTGATTCGGTATCCCACACTCCTAGTTACCCACATCAGAAGTCATGCTTAGTTTAATTTTAAGGGAGGGGGGAATAATCTCCCTGTATTTACTGATCAGCACAGACCACTGCTTCACCCTAGTTTTGAGTATGGCCCGTACACAGCTGAAGTAATACATTAGTCTCAACAGAAAGTCCTAAGCTGTAGAGCGACCACATGGTGTGCAACTTGCCAAAGTCGAAGATTATCCTAACGTAGAGTGAACTGCATCTGTTAATAAGAATGCTTAATTAAAAGTAGGAAATATACGAACATTTAAAAACAAAATCACTGAACTAAAATATATTTCAATCATGGAATTCATACAATTCTGGAAGTTTCTAATGCCACAGCTATAAAAGCCTGAACCCATATTTAATCGTTGAAAAGTATGCTGTGCAATGGGTTCAAAAAGGTGAGTAGAAGATTATGGTGACGAATGCTTAAATATGCTTAGAGGAGTGGAGACCTGGCTATTTATATTGGCCAAGAAAGATGGATAAAGTCACTATCGTATTCTTAATACCAATTTTTGAACAAAACGATATTGTCGATTTGTTGTGTAAAACCCCTCGTCGTTCTTCGCGAATCTACAGCATTGTAGAGTGAATGTTATCGGCCAACAACATTCAGGTATACTGGATGTTATTCATCCTTCTAAAGGCATCAAAGGACCCAACCCTTGCTACGAGGATGTTCCTCACACTATACAACACTTCCAGCAGCTCGCACTGTTGGAACAACTCAAACAGGGTCAAGTACTTCATCAGTAAAGGGAAAGAGGAAACACGGACCACATAATACGCTTCCAGTTAATCATTATCCAAAGTTTGTGCCCTAATCACTTTTGAAGTTGTAGTTTACAGTAAAGGGAAAGAGGAAATACGGACCACATAGTACGCTTCCAGTTAATCATTATCCAAAGTTTGTGCCCTAATCACTTTTGAAGTTGTAGTTTACACTTTTGTAGTTTACAGTAAAGGGAAAGAGGAAACACGGACCACATAATACGCTTCCAGTTAATCATTATCCAAAGTTTGTGCCCTAATCACTTTTGAAGTTGTAGTTTACAGTAAAGGGAAAGAGGAAACACGGACCACATAATACGCTTCTAGTTAATCATTATCCAAAGTTTGTGCCCTAATCACTTTTGAATTTGTAGTTTATTCTCTTTTTTTTTCAAACTTAATGTTTTTGTGAATCGTTGTTGGCTACCATATGACAATTTGTGTAATGCTCATCATATGATATGTTCGTAAATAATCAAGTATCCTAACCACTGATACATTATATGATTGGGCAATTTTACATTTGCAAGTAAGTGAAGTGTTATGTAAACGTGTATGTTTGTGTGTACAGAAAGGGAAGAGGACGGTTAAAAAGTGACCAATTAGTGTATTTCTATCTTCTAATAACAGTTAGTGAATAGGCGAACCTTATGTAATTCACTTCTTTGTTTATTTATTTTCTACTATACAGCTCTCCAGGTGACGTCTGCAGCAACATCGCCGACTGTGGTAGAAAATCCCGCTGTGTTCAGAGATATAACTACCAACTGTTGATCAGTATCGATCCAGATCTTCCAGATATTTGTCCTTTTATGAGATTGTTTAAATTCCCATCGTCTTGTGTTTGTCATGTAGAAGTGGAAAACGGAGTTGATCAGTGAAGACGGTAGCTATAATTACGAAACACTAAATGAACAAACAACAAACTGTAAAATATTATACAAGTGAGTGAGGTATATCGTCGTTGTTAAACAACTCCATTATATACATATAAATCACAATATTGTTATTCTTTACTTTTTAATATTATTTATGAGACGATTTCTATTTGAGTAAATTTAAATTAAAAATATATACACAAGTTAACTTTTCATAGATCAGTATGTTTCCAAATGGCTGTGTAGCCGTCACCGGTTAAATAATTTAACTCGACGTATATTTAAAGATATACGTAACAATACTGAATGTAACGGATAACAATGGCCTTTCTTACTATACAGATATTACGCTGTGTAATGTACTGCGAGATATGTACGTAGCGCTCTATGCAATTTACAAAAGTTGGATATCAAAAGATTTAGTTAAATAGTAAAATAAAATAATGTCTGCGAATTAGGCTATATGTTAGCTCTAGAACATATATGTGTGTGTGTGATAATTTCATGATTTTATTCAGTTTTATAAAACAAATATTGAATTTTTACGGAAAATCAGATATAAAGCAACGCTAATTTTGCATGTATTATTTTGAGAAAATACTCGTGGAATTCCATGCTTAAATGTTGTTGATAAAAACTAATATGTGACGCAGCGTTTAAATTTGATTTTAATAACAATATTCTAACATTTAATTTTCATTGAGTACAACAACAGCTTTCTACTACTTTATCGAAAAGCATTTGAACTCTCGATAACTTTTCGATCAGCTGCAACTGCTCTGGCGATTGAATCATGTCATAAAACCCTAGTATTTCTCTACGTTGCTGCGGCTATCAAACTGTTATTTTTTCATAATAATCTCAGTACGAACTGAAATTTTATACTCAAGTACAGGTAACAATACTACTGTCGTTTTTTAGTAACCACCAGTATTTTCTAGAGAAGAATCCTAGCGTTCTAATATTACAACAAGCGTTTTTTACGGTACTACCTGAACACTAATATAACCACCATGGATGTTCTGGAAAAGTATAAAATGCTGCTAACGTTCTAAGATAACCACCGTCTTCTACAAAAGTAACAATGTTATAATAACCAGCGTCTTCTAGTGAAGTGACATTGTTGCTAAACGTTCTAATATAGCCATCACTATTTTCTTAAAAAATAACAATGCTGCTAGTGTTCTAATTTAACAACCAGCGTCTTCTATACAAGTAACAATGTTGCTAGCGTTCTAATATAACAACCAGCGTCTTCTATATAAGTAAACATTTTGCTAGCGTTCTAATTTAACAGCCAGCGTCTTCTAAGACCAGCAACAATGTTGGTAGCTTTCTAATATTACAACCAACATCTTTTTAAAAGTAACAAGTTTGCTAGCGTTCTAATATATATATATTTATATATATAATAATGGTTATAAATACATATATAATCATTAGTATCTTCTAGAGAGGCAACGATGGTGCTAGTGTTGTAATACAATCACCAACGTCTTCTATAAAGAAGTAAGCATACTGCTAGCCTTCTAACATAACCACCAATGCCTTCTATAAACATTGCAATGGTGCCCAGCGTTCTAACGTACCCACCAATATATTCTAGAAAGTTAAGAATGCCGTTAGTGTCCTAATATAACCACCAGCGAAGTAACAATGCCACTAGGATTGTCGTGCTGTTGCGTTGTATTTCTAATCCGGTTCTTATAATAGATAACGGCAAGGATCAATATCTTTGATATTTAAAAAGGTCTTTTGCATCATAACCATTTTGATGTGTGTATGCATTTTGCCTAAAATATGTGGTTTTTTTTCAGAATGATCTATGTGTTTTTGTTTTAGATGAAATATTTTGGTTTGATCAACTATTCTGGTTAATGTTTTACATATGTGTGTAGATCTAATATATTGCATGTTGTTAGTAGTGTGTACGTTTCATATTTGTGTAGAAACGATTTTTTTTATGTTGAGCTATTTTTCATTTATTTCTTTTTTAAATTATTTACTATTTGTATTGAATAAACCAGGTTCTTTATACCTAAAACTAAGTATACCAACCAAACTTTCCTTGTTGTTTCGTACACACTATGGCAAAGTCCAATATCAGAAACAAGCTCCTTAGTTTGAACATTTGACCCTTTTACTTCTTGAACAATATAACCATTATAATAATAGTACAATGTTTCGAAGCGTCTCCAACAAACAAGTATTATAAACTGAGTGTGGTTATAAATTCAAAAATGATTATTTGGAACAGTATGAAGAACGAACCATGTAAGTTATTGATGAAATATTATTTGGAAGGTATAAAGAACGAACCATGTAAGTTATTGATGAAATATTATTTAGAACAGTATGAAGAACGAACCATGTAAGTTATTGATGAAATGATTATTTAGAACAGTATGAAGAATACTGTGTTGTCTTCCAGTGTACTTTATTGTAACTATCATAACGTACAGTTTCAGCAACTTTACATTGTGCTGTCTTCCACCACTACTGATAGAATAAGGGTTATTCATTCCACTCTGTGCTTATACACCAGTCTAATTTGAATATAACTATGTGTACTTCCCCTTCATCTCATTTTCAGAAATCAGTAGAATGCACTCTTAATATATTCTAATGCATATACAAAAACTATTTCATCAATAACTTACATGGTTCGTTCTTCATACTGTTCTAAATAATCATTTCATCAATAACTTACATGGCGAATCTTCATACTGTTCTAAATAATAATTTCATCAATAACTTACATGGTTCGTTCTTCATACTGTTCTAAATAATCATTTCATCAATAACTTACATGGCGAATCTTCATACTGTTCCAGATAATCATTTCATCAATAACTTACATGGCGAATTAAGTTGCTGAAGCTGTACGTTATAACAGTTACAATAAAGTGCGACTGGAAGACAACACAGTGTTAAGTTGTTGAAACTGTACGTTATGATAGTTACAATAAAGTACACTGGAAGACAACACAGTGTTAAGTTGCTGAAGCTGTACGTTATAATAGTTACAATAAAGTACACTGGAAGACAACACAGTGTTAAGTTGCTGAAGCTGTACGTTATAATAGTTACAATAAAGTACACTGGAAGACAACACAGTGTTAAGTTGCTGAAGCTGTACGTTATAATAGTTACAATAAAGTACACTGGAAGACAACACAGTGTTAAGTTGCTGAAGCTGTACGTTATAATAGTTACAATAAAGTACACTGTGACTGAACAACCTTATCGTGAGTTGTTCGCTCTTTTCACACCAGAACTACCAAACATTACATTCATCGAGGATGGTGCACCATTGCCTGCCAAAGCCGTTGCTTACGCAGAGCGTTGATGAGGATCACGTTCTCAGTCACCACTTTATTATGCCTGTTTCCTGATCTCACTATCTCTGACTGCTGATTTTGAGGCTTTCACGAGATGTACATGTCTACCGCCATAACCTAGAAAATATTCCTCAACTGATGAGGATGTCATTACAACAACGATTCAGATGCTTTCTGTGGAGATATTACTTACCGCACGTAGTAATAGTAAATAATGGTAGCAATACTAGTTATTTTCTGTAATTGTTTCCCTAGTATCATTTTTAAAAATAAATAAATCAAGTACATTCTCGTAATCTCTTACACACGATAACAAATTAAATATGGATGTATGCTACATAGACAAGTTGGGTTTTCAGAAAAGACAATTTTAGGAGACATTTCTTGTTAAAAGTTGATAACAAGTCATTCGTAGACAATTAGAGTACGCTGAATCCAAATATGTTTGAAAATAAATAATTATCAAAATAAATGAATAAAGAAAGTGAAGGAAAATATATAGGCTATCATGGAATGCAAGCAGCTGCATTATCTTCACTCACGTCGAAACCTTTGTGATTAGCGTGTGTTAAAATGTCTTCCAGAATCTAAGTGCAACATGTAACAGTGAAAGAAAGATGTGCAACATGTAACAGTGAAAGAAAGATGTGCAACATGTAACAGTGAATGAAAGATGTGCAACATGTAACAGTGAAAGAAAGATGTGCAACATGTAACAGTGAAAGAAAAATGTCCTCGTGAGAATGGATCAGGCAAGGACATAAGATGAAATAATTCCATAAGTTGACTTGTTTTTTCTTGAACAATGATTAACGACTGATATAGCAGAGAGATATTTTAATGTCAACTTTCTCTGTTAGGTTACAGTAACGATTTTAAACTTCAGACAGCTTCAAAACATTGTTCTTATTGCAATGCTACATGTTGAAGCTAATTTTGTCGTCATAGCATTGCTGTGTGGGAAACTTGAAGGCTTTGTCTATTTTTCACCACAGACATCATGAAGTTGATGAAACTTAGGAGGTGATATTTACCTTCAGAAGCTACAAGGTCATTCATTACCTCCAACCATCTGAACAGTCATTTTGTGTTCAAGCAGCCCTCATTATATGCTCACTCATTTGGAACGTAGTTACAGAGATAACTCTGTTTGGAATGCACTTCACGACGAAACCTACAATAACCACGGTCTATAGCTTTAATGGAACTAGAATATCTTATTTTGAATAGTATGTCTTCTGAGATCACTGCCCATGTCCATATCTGATAAATCAGTTTCGGATGCTTTTGCTTTCCGAAGCTTCTGGAAATTGGGTAACGTGCATAGCAATTTCTATGCCACACCACTGAGACAACATGCTCTGAACTAAAGATGGACTCCATTCTGTCAATGGTCTCTCCATAATTGACATCTTGCGGGGTTATTTTCTCATAGCTGTTGTCTCCTTCATTGTCTTTTTGTGTTTGTTCACCTATATCTTCTTTACTTGATTCTTGGCAAATAATACATAGACTATGAGAAACTAGCATAAGTATTTTGAGACCAGTTACAAGCTCCATGGTTTATCAACAACCGCAACCATCTCGTCTAACTACTGTTAATAAATATACTGGAGAAAAATACATTATACTCTTATAATAATTATATACTAACTACACGTGCAAAAAATAGTAATGTTTTTTACTACCGTCACCTCTTCATTAACAAAAAGCATTTGTTTAACTTTCAACCGTCACTGTTATGGCTATGAAGAATATATTTTGTACAGAAACAATGAATAAATAGTATATCAATAAATTATATAATATATAATTATTAAAATATATATTAAA